AGAATAAAAATTATATAATAATTGCAACTAATTACTATATCTCGATTGTAAACCCACGGTTTAGCTTTGGAACTTGTTCCGGGCACTGACTTGACTCGGGTATCTCTAAACAGAGTGATGATCTCTTCCCCGTACCATAGTACTATATTTGCAAAACAACAAAACACGTGGTTGCCTTTTACTGAGTTTATTCTGATTTGGTAGGTGTAAACAATGCTGATCTTTTGAGGGGGTAAGCCAAAATGCCTACTTTTTATCAAAAAATTTTAGTAGAACCGGCACAAAATAACAAAGAAAGAAAGACCTCTTGATACTATTTAAAGAAAAGTAAGTTACTAGAAACAACAGAAATAGTCTTCCTTCTAGCCAGAACTGCACTACTCATATTTTGTTAGTGAGTAATAAACTCTGAACTTGTCGGTAGATAGCATATAAGAACTATCTCTAAATAACAAGCACCAGGTTTGTAGTATATATAAACTCTAAGCCTATCGGCAGGTAGTATATGAGAACTACTTCTAAATGACAGGTGCTAACTTACAGTCTCTCTTTTCACATCTTATATAGTTTGGCTAGTCGGTTTCTACTATTTTTGTTGAAAAGTTTTTTCTGCAAAATTTGGTTTAAGTAATTGTCAAAAAGAGTTGTGAATTTTGTATTTTTTTTCTAATAATAAAGAAAAGTGGCAAAGCTTGGATAACACTAATGTAATAGACTTTGAAATTCGCAAGAATCTAACATTCAATCTGGTATTAGAACAAGGTTGGTTATGGGTGCATAAAGCAAAAATTATTTTTAGGTTTTTTCCCAGAACCTATAAGCATTGTGGTAAAATTGTAATAAATAGTATGAGTATCCTATTAATTAAAAATAGCAATAAAGCTAGCTCTAGTAAAAATAACCCATTTGATTCTTCTGATTTTGAAACAAAGATCAATTCATCTAACTTCAGTTCTCATAATCATCCTCGAAAGAAGAAATGCAAGTTTAGCTATTTTATAAATACTTCTGACTTGAGACCTAAACCTGATCTAATTTTGGAGGAGATCACAATTATGCTAACTGCACTTACATATAAGATAAAAAATCATTTGCAATTGCTACTAAAAATCTAGTGATCTTGACTTATACTAATTAATTCATGAATGAACAAATCATTAAACCTGAAATTAGTTTATGAAATCTGCAAATTAGTTTTGTTAGTTATGAATAATAAACTATATTAATAAGCTAAGTATAAGGAATTTTATTGTTAAAAACTTATCTGATATCTTGTTATTATTATATCTCTTACTAATCTTTAAAACTTTGCTCTTAATATTTTAAAAAAACAAAATATAACATAGTACAAGATATCATTGTTACAGAATTGCCACCATGTAAACTATATGAAAACAAAATATTATCTGTTAATTTTGAATTATTTACAATACTTTCATATGAACATATATATCATAGAAAATGTATAGAAAAAAAATTTTTACTTATAACAGAAAACAAATGCTCTTTATCTGATTGTAATAAAATCATTAATTCAGTAGTATCTAAACAAAGATTTTCGAATCATCATCTCAGTTTAGTGGAACTCAGATAGGTTAGGTGAGGACTTTGAATTAGGTTTTCCAATGGCTGTATTACCATTATTAGGTCAGAACAACCTCCTACTTTATGAAAGTAGAACACAAAAAAAACGTATTATAGAATTACCAGATAAATCCAATAAAAGACAAAATCTTTTAAAGTAAAAAAACTTATCAAAGAATTAAAAGATGATAGTGTTAATAAAGATTTGATATTTCACTCTTAGTTATTTGAAGATAGTTATACTTATCTTTACAAAGAAATAGTTAAAGCTAAAGCTAATAATAATATTGCAAGTCAAAAGCTTTTAAACTATTACTTTCAATTTGGTAAAAAGTTATCTAATCACTTGAATTATTATAACAACAAAAAAAAATATCAAGATCGTAAAACTCAAAGTAAAGTAAATAAAGAAATAAAAGACCAACTATCTAAAGAGGTTAATGATACTACATATTGAAAACAAACAGAAAGAGCTAAAAAAATATATAAACTTTTTATTGAAATCGGTATTGATAAAATGGAACAAGTTAAATCTTATTTGGTTCTAACTATTTTAAAATTAAGTTGGGAGAGTATCGACTATATTGTAATTAACATTAAATTATAAAATCATACATATACTGCCTTGTATAACTGTTACACAGCTAATCTCTAGGTCAGCAACTTTTATTTTATTTTTATTATTTTTACTATATATCGGGGAAATATTATATAAATTTACATAAATTTGCTTTTAAACATTTTATAAAATCAAATTTTATATATATATGTATAACCAGTATTTTTATCTTATAAGGCTTATACAAATTTGTTTGTAAATAGGTTACAAACACAAATGCCCACAGTTTGTATAATAAAAATTTTAGCTACGTATATTTTTCTGTTATATATATAACAATGAAAAATCAAAATAATATACTTACAAATAAAAACAAACAAAATTATACTGAGAAGTGGTATATCTTTAAAGGTTGGAAGCATGGGTATAAGGTTTATAACGAATGCAATTATCATTCACATCTATATTGCAAAGCATGCAAAAAAGTAGCAAATGGAATATATAATGTGAAAATTTATTGTGATTGTATCTTGTATAACTATGACACTAGTGTCATACCATTAAAAATATATTTTTCAGTTAATATTACTGTGATTAAATTTTTAAATACATCTATTGTGAAGACCCAGGTTGAGTTTCAGATTTCCAAAAATAAAGTAGAACAAGTCGTTAGGGTATTCAATAAACTAATTGATCAAAACTTAGTTAGGATCATATGATGATCCTTGATTTCAGATTTTTAAAAGATTATTTTATATATAAATTTATACTAATTTTTTTATACAACCAACAAACAAAATGTATATGTTTTTTTTTTAAAAACTGTAGTTTTAGACTAGCTCTGCACTGTAACAGAACTGATTTTTCAATAACTTTTAATAAAATTTTGGATTAATTTTTATTAATAATTAATATAGATTATTAAAAAACTGGTTCTGTTATAGTGTAGAGCTCATTTAGAACTACAGTTTAAAAAAAAATATAGTACAATTTTGTCTGTTAGTTGTGTAGAAAAATGTATCTAAATTAGTGCAAATTCATATATAAATTTATAGGTTAAATAACTCTTTAAAAAATCTGACTTAATGACTCTAACTATGTTTTGATTAATAAATATCCTAATGAGTAGTTATAAAATTTTTTTTGCCCTTACAAAGCTTATTTTATTTGTAATACAGAATATATAGTTTTGAAGTTTCTAATCCAATCTAAATTCTGAAATTGATATAATTGTTATACATATCGATATCAGTAAGCCAAAATTCCATATCTGATATGTGGAAGTTTGATCTTACAAGGCTTATATAATACAATGATCCTACCTCTTTTGTTAATTAGAATACCTTATTTTTTAAATATTAAATTTTTATTATATGGGGCTTACAAATTAAAATTAAGTAATTTGTACGTATTAATATTTTTTATACCATAGGTAGTTTTTAAATTAATCTATAAATTAAAAATTATGTGACAGATACTAGCTTTAAACAAACTCCTTTTATGGATCTTTTCTAGCATTATTAGGAGTTAACTTCTCATGTGGCTATACAATTGTAGATCAAGTTAAAGATATAATATAGTAATAGCAATAGTATTTTCTTATATATAATGTATCTACCAACAAGTATGAATAGACCAAAAAAAAGTGTTGTTCTTTATAAAATTTTACACTTTTTTGAAATATAATTATAAGTAAATTACTTAATAAACAATTTATAATTTTTGATGATTCAAACTAATCTAAATTGGTTATCTGCAGTTGAAAAAAAATGTCTAAAGATATAAAACACCCAGACACCTCTTGTCTGAGTTCCATAAATCTTGTAATAAAGATGTAAATTCATTTTGAGGGTGATTTAGATCCTGATAAGTTGAAGGCTAACATATCTCAAGTCACAGACTTGGCTGATTTAAAATGTATTCTCATAAATGAATTCGAACTGTTAAAAAAAGTCAGACTACAAACTATTATATTTCTAAATAATAACAATACATCTCTTTCTCCAGATACTTGTTTACAAACTTTAGCAGACAATACAACTGCTAAAACACCACTTTTTGTTCGTTACCTTCTCTCAAATGCCAATAGTAAGTGAGCTTTTTATTTTTTCTGTTTTATTTTTTTCACTTAAAATAAATGCTTATTAGTTTTCACCAAATATAGTTTTAGTGAGCTTTAATTATTTACGTTGTTCAGGCAAATGTAAAATACCACATACCAGTAGTTCTTTAAGTTTATTACAAGAAGAAGTTGTAAAAAGATTTAACGAGTTACAAATAAAAGAATTTTACTTTTTTAATGATGAAACAAAAGATGAGATTCGAAATGAATATAGCTTTAACATTTTAGTATCTTAGACCGAACCAAATAGTAATGACTATAGTTTTAAACTAAAAATTAAAATTAATAGTAAAAAGTCTTATAGTGATTGAGAACTAAAGAACATGTTTAAGGAAATATTATGACAAGATTATAAATCTTTTAGTGGCATGCCAAGGCTTAACTTGAATGACCTACCCTTATTAGAGCACTCATTTACTGAGGATGAATTAAAAGGTTTTGTTGGTGAACTTCAAAGAACACTTAATGTATTCAAGAAGAAATTTGGTATCAATGAGATGACTGCTCATGAATATATCTCTACCTTCATAAAAATTGCAGTTTGTTATATACAAGTTTATACAAACAAATCTGCACAATTAAGCATGGAAATAGACCTGGATGAAAGTTATAAGTATGGCCTTGTAGACTATATAATGAATATCATTAAATTTTGGTGTTGTTATATGAAGCAAAAGTAGAAAATATGAACAAGAAAATAGCTCAAGTTCTTGTACAAATGCATAGCGCAGCAAAGCAACAATTGGGTAAACGCAAGCATAGCCAAATGAAACAAGCAATATTCAGAATAGTTACAACTAGAAAATTATAGCGATTTGTACGTTGAACTGGATCATTAGAAAAACCAACAGTTCATATTTCTGAAGAGTACACTTGCAATTTTAAGAATAAAATAGAATCTAAAAAGGAAGTGTTAAAATATATTACTCAAATATTACAAGCCCAAGCTATATAGTATTTGATAATAACAACAAGGGTAGCTATCCTTCAAAACATCAATGTATTAATCAAGAAAATGATAGGTGAAAGAATTTTGTTCACCATTCCTGATGTGTATTTTCATTTTTGCATATATTATTCTTTACATTAACGTAGTCTTAATCATTAAAAATAAGTATCTGTATTTAGTTCAATAATATATGAAAATAATAAAGATTTCAACTGAATTTGATTTTTGACGAATAATATTAGATTGTTAGTTTACTATATTGGTATAAAGCTGGCACTAGTAGCTGATTTCGTATAAATAATTGTGTTTATTTTTGCATATATATTTTGTGAATTTATTAATATTGATGTATATTAACTTGCATATCGGTCAACAGATATGTCCCTAATTTTCATAATCTGATGCATATTTATAGTAAATTTGCATATCATTTTTCATAATTTTTATATGAAAAAAAGGTGTCAAAGAACTTCTTTTTTTAATATTTCACCTTTTCTCAAACAAAATCTAAATGGTTAATTAATTGAAATAAGTTTAAATTCACTACTTTTCATGGATACAATTTAATATATATATATATTAGTTTTAAAAGAATTGTACCCTAAAGTTAACAAAGTGATATTTATTATGTGATTAATCAGCATTATATGATTGGTGCCATATTTCAATCAGATGACCTTTTGTTAATCAAAATATATTATTGTACATTGAAATAAAATTATAATAATGTATTTACATATTTAGTACATGACTTTTGTATTGATATTAAAAAAGACAAAAAGAAGCCTTTTGAATATTTTATGAAAGCAGCTGAGTTAGAAAATTCAAGTATGATGAATAATGCTGGTCATTATCATTATAGAATTGATGTAGAAATAAATTTCATGAAAGAATCTAATAGAGAATCTTTCAGCAAGTTAAAAGCCAAAAAAATAAGAAAAAGAATTGTTGTAGCAGATCATATCTGGGCATCTCTAAGCAGCTAGATAAGCTTTTATTGAAAAAAAGGGAGAGTTAGAAGAAAATCTATATATTTTAATTATGTATTTCTTGTACAATAAAGGCAGGATTGCCAAAAAAAAAACTGGCATTTTGGTCTAAGCTTTTTCAAATTAGCCTAATTGGAAAATCCCAAAAAGTAATTTTTTTAGCAAAGATTCTGTATTATCCCTTAATTGGTAGAGATTTGCAAGCAAATTTGCCTGTATAATTACTATAAATATGTCTCTGATCTACTTTTTTAATTATTTAAAATATTTAAATAAAATT